ACATTGTCAAGTGAACACTGCTGCACTTCAGGTGGTGTCCTTCGAAGTGAAAAGTCTTCGGGGAGAATTATAATGCATGGGCAGTTCCAAGAATGCTGCCAGGGCAGCTCAAGAGAGATCAAGCTGCTAAGGCAGTCGTGGTCAAAGATCGGCTGAAGGGTCAGCTCGTTGAGATTTGTTGCAAGGGCAACTCAAATAGTTTTGCTGCAAGGGCAGCTGAAGATGGCAAGGGCCAATATTCAATGCACACAATGAGTGTGCTTCATACATCGCTGCAAGGGCAGCCCATTCTTTCAGGCCGTGACGACAGCCAAATCCGGCAAGGGCCGGCAAGAGGTGCAAGGGCACCGATCAGTCGTCTAGTACAGACGAGAGGTTCTCTCGAGAGCTTGAAAACAGAAAGATTGCAAGCTGCTATCGACTCAGCACTTAATTGCACATTTCAAGGGAAAGACGTGCTGACATCTGAGTTTACTCTCCCAAACCTGAATTTCTCTCGGCTCAAAAAAAAAAAGAGAGACAAAAAGGGTAGCAAAGGCTCTGAGAGGAAACAAAAGCCAGGGGGCAAAGAAAAGAGGCGTAAGCCCAGATGTTTCCGTGGCCCTTCTTTCCGGGCGGTGAGTCACAAGGCTCTGCCTCCAGGGGCCGCAGGAGGAACAGAAGCAGCAGCGACAGCCGTCGCTCAAGACGCAGAGACAGGCGCCGAAGGGCGTCTAGGTCACGCAGCCCAAGGGGGCGTCGAGAAAGGTCTCCAGAGACCCAGCCGAGGACCCCAATTGTTGGGAGCCCTAGCAGCCAGCTCCGCAGCCAGGATTTCACTGGTGCCAAGTGCCGACTGCGGTCTTCGGCGTGGCGTCTGGCCCACAGACCCAGGCATCCCTTCCTGCTCAGAAGGGAGCTGAGGCAGCTTCTTCTTGGAAGGACTCCTCCCGGTGGCAAGAACAGTCCACCCCATGGAAGAGCCAGCAGTCTTCATGGGGCAAAGGTTGGGGGCATTCTAAGAACTACGGCTCCAGCAGCTCGTGGCAGGGCTCTGGAGGGAATCGGCGTGAGAAGTGGGACAAGCCTAAAGGCTGGAACAAGTGGCCCAAGCCTGAGCAAAAGCCGGCTAAGGAGCAGTATGGGCGAGGGGCTGCCCCCAAGGAGGAGGAGCCGGAGATTCTCCTCGACCCAGCTATGGTTATGATGTTGAAAATATATACAACTGGCACATGTCCAAACAGTTTTTTGATATGGTTTTCAATATGTTTGGCTGATACATAGTCTCGGCCAGTACAGAAGGCAGATATGACTTCTATGGTTGACTGACACACAGGTTATGTCAATACAGAAGGCAGATATGTTTACTCTGCGCAATTTTGAAGGCCGCAGCATAACGTGCCCTAAACACTAAACCCTACAATCCTAAACCCTCACCTTCTTTCCCCAGACAGTGCGCCAACGCAACAAGGGGGGTTTGGGTGGGGGATACGATTTCCGATATGATTCTGGAGCAGTGGCCGCAAACAGATATGATTTCCGATACGCCGACCCCCCCCCCCCCTAAACCCTGGCCCTGAACCGAAGACAGTGAGATGAGATACGCACGCGACGCGATCACGCAGTCCCACGCAGCTCCTGCTGGTTCTGGGATCTCTGCAAGAGCTCTTGGAATTCGTTTGCTGTCCACAGATAGCAAAACCTTCGCAAGGTCCTCGGGGCCTCGTATGTGCTGTAGTGGAAGCAATTCATTTCATACTGACAACCATACCTGTCGGTCGTATCCTGCATGTATGTGTATCCATAAGCCATATCAAGAAGTGTATTCAAATCATAAATAAAAAAAAGCTGGCTTTCTAGCTTGTCTAGGGTTATTCCCATCAGAAAGCTATGGCTGGGATTTTTGGCGCCCGGCAGCAGGGGCCGCCTGAGAGGCCCGACTCTGCATTCAACGTTGCGGAGGCGACGGAGGAGGAAGTTCAAGCGGCGGCCAATCGCAAGGCTGAGCGCGAAGAAGAAGGGTTCCACAGTCAACCCAAGTGCGCCCGAGAACTGATGCGTGAGGGCATCTTGCGAAGCTGGTGGAACATGTCCTGGAAGGACGCCCGAGGCCTGATTGACGGGACCTTGGTGGACGAGTGTCGCGATCGGTTGATGCTGTACATGGCAAAGTACAAGAATCCCACCGAGGTGCCGCAGCCGATTGTCGAGCGCTGTGCATGCTTGTTCGCGTGGTTCAAGCAGAACTCCAGGCCGCTGGACATTGAAGGGGACTTCGATGCGATCATGTTCGCAGTGCCAGGGCAGAAAGGGGCTGTGCTTTCGCACAAAGCTGACAGGGCCATCCTTCCTGGAGCCCGCAAACCACCGCTACACGATGACAATGTCCCACGGCTTGCCGTGGACAGCAGCCATGGGTGTGGGCGAGTATGGGGAGATAACCCCGGGAGACTTCACGGACGGCGACTTCCCGTCGTACGGATTCAGCGGCCGAGGGGTCTGCAACGACTCCGGCTTTGAAGGTATCAAAGCCTCAATCTCCAAGGTGGCTGCAAGAGCCAAAGGAAGGGACGTGATGGAAGGGCTCCTGCAGGAGAATACGCCCCAGGTGGAGGGGGGCATGCCGGCACTGAATGCTGCTTGCCGAGATGCAGGCAGCGCGCGGTCAGGGGACCACCTGCTTTTGAGTCCCACCTGTGCAGTTTTGAGGGCCGTATCCGTAGCCTGGCCAATCTGAGCCAAGAGCCGAAACACTGAGCCTCGATATAAGCTCGTCGGGAGCCATAAAAGAGTGTCCCGTTCTGACAGGGCGAGTGAACTTTCGCTTTGTCATCATGTTTGCAACAGAAATTTTGTCTTCCTCACATGTTTCTTTTCATGCGGGTATCGAGAGTTTTGGGTCAGTTTTGGTTCAAGCCCCAGATGGCTGGTCACCTAAGAGCATCGGAGGTGCCTTCTGACAGCGAGTCGGAAGGCCAAGAAGTTAACCAGCATCGTGTTGCTCAGGTCCTGATTTCCGCAGGACCACCGAATGTGCAACTCCCCTGGGAACAAGGAATTTTCAGGGACATCTTCGCACCTAGACCAGTGGTGTCACTGGACTGGCCAGAGCCCAAGGTTCTTGTCAATGTGGATGAAGCCGAACTATCGTCTACACCAGGTCCCAGCGTTTTGCAAGACAAAGACAAGACGCCAATCGCAGGTGTCTTCAGCTCCTCACCGGGAGCCAATGTTTTCAGCAAAGTGATCAAGTGCAAAAAGAAAGATGAGCCTTTTGAGGAGGCTGTTGCAGGCATGTGGTTGAAGAACATGCAGATGTGGAAACAGCTGTTCGAGGCCTCCCCGTCCACCACTTTTGCCAAAACATTACAGGAATTGGACGAAGAGGAGAAGATGTTGTCCCTTCGTGACATGTTTGGATCGAAATCACCACACACAATCCAGCAGCGTGCATCAACCTTGTTGAGATTGTTTCGTTGGCTTCAAAAACAGGCCGATGTGCAAGGGACCTCTGTGGAGGAACCCCTTCTCCCATCAGAGGAAGCGGTGTACAAGTTCTGCAGAGAGATATCCCACAGGAAGAAGGGCAAGCTGGCACCTCAGAGCGTGGTACAAGCGTTGAAGTTTGTGAAATTTGTGCTTTCCATTCCAGATGTGGAGAATTCCATCTCCCCCAGGGTCCAAGGCTTGGCCGACCGAGCGGCAGGCGAGCACGAGCCCACACATCAAGCCCGGGACCTAACAGTGCTTGAAGTTAGGTTTCTGGAAGAGTGTGTTTGGAACGCTGAGCTCCACATTGTCGATCGATTTGCAGCAGGAGTATTCCTGTTTCAGATCTTCAGCAGGAACCGTTGGTCGGACATCAGGCACGTGCGATCCTTGGAGTTCGATTTTCTGGAGATTGGCCCCGAAATCTGTGGTTTTCTGGAAGGCAGGGCCAGAGAGGTGAAACAGTCCAACAAGAAGAAGAAACTCTCGTTGTTCATGCCCCTTGTGGCTCCAGTTCGGGGGGTCCACCCGACGGTGGTTCGTGCTCTCGAACCCTCAACAGCGAGGGTTACCACACATTCCTTGAAACACACTGCTCTGGGCTGGTTGAGCAAATACGGCATTGTGGGCGAAACACAGACACTCTTGGCGCATCATTCTACTGGAGCTTTGAGTACATTAGCTTACTCAAGAGACGCCCTTAGTGGCCCCCTCCGGCAGCTGGAGGAAATGCTAAAGCAGGTACGGGAGGGCTCGTTTTGCCCGGACGCTACTCGAAGTGGATACTTTGCCCGTGCCCAAGGATCAGAGGCAGGTGCGTCTGTTGACCTCGGGTCCTGGTTGCCGATCAGCAAGGCAGGCAGCTTAGATGGGCTGCCCGCGAACTCCGAAAGCACGCATGAGCCTTTGCCAGCTACAGTGGAAGGCTTTGAGGACGATTTCCTGGGGGTTGGACCGCTTTGCTCCTCGCAAGGGAAGGTTTTTGAGTCACCAAGTGCCATGCCTGTCTTGGAAGCATCTGCACCGTCGGTAGCGGAAGGAGACGAATCCCCCTCGAAAGAAAGTGAGGAATTAGACAGGTTGGCTACCGTGACTTCTGGGCTTTGCGAGGCGTTGTTCGATAAGGACGACACACAAGGTGCAGATGATAACGAGGAGGCAGAGATCTCGCCCACCACATCAGCAGACGGGTCCTCCGAGGAAACCTCTGATGGAGCCTCGTCGGAAGAAAAGGAGGAACCAGCTTCGACCCTGAGCCTACCGGAGGGTTGGAGCGCGATCCAGAACAAGAAGTCTACCATGTTACATCTGTACAAAGTAGGTCAGACGACGCTGAAATGTGGAAAGTGGATAAGCGTCAATTTTGTAGAAATGGAGAAGCCCTCAGCGAAGTGGCTACAGTGCAGCCGTTGTTTTCAGGAGTAAAGAGAGGGGTGACACTGTTGTTGGCCGGTTTGTGTGCTTGTGCAACACCATCCCTTTGTACCAGCTCTCTCTCTTGCAAGTTGCAGTTTTGGCCCCACGCCCTAAACATGGCAAACGCAGCGGATAGTCAGCCTTTCTTCGAGCAACATGCTCGCAAGATCGGAATGGAGCAGCCACTCTTGGACAAATTCATAGCTGGAGGGGTCAAGACGGTGTCCATGGCAGCCTATGCCGCCACTCAACCGGGTCAACCTCTCACAGATAGGGAGGTCTCCACTCTATGTACGAGTCTGGGGCAGAACAACCCCACTCTTGCACAGATGACGGTTGTCAAGAGGCTCCTGTTCGAGTGCCAGACCATGAGCTTGGCAAACTTGAAGGCAACCGTGGAACAGCAGCCGGACTCAGTCCTACGTAAGCTGCCAGGAGCTGAGAGAGCCCAGCGCCTGGAATTGCAGGCTCAAAGGCTGGGCGGACTCTCGATTGAGCATGACTTGGAGCCCGCCTTTTCAGTATATGATGCCGTGTCGACACAGGTAGAGCAAGGGTCGCTGAAATACCTGCACCCGAGCAAGATCCCCACGCGTCGCCAGGAATTGGCGCAAGGCAAGCCAACCAAGGAACTTGTGCTGGATGCTTCGGGGGATGGCCTCTCGGTTCAAGACAAATCCTCTAAAGTAGAGGCCCAGTTGGGGTCAGACATGGCGACTTACAGGGCGTTGCAAAGACGGGGTCTGGCCTACGACCTCGTTGGCATTTTGAGTTTCAAGGTGCACGAGAAATGGCTTCAGAAGGCCTTTGCTACCTTGCAGACCCCACCGCCCCCAGGCTTCAACCGTCCGACGCTGCAGCAGGTCCTGCGAGCAGATCGGGCCTTGTGGATGGAGCTTGGCAGCAAACAGCCGACCCTGACAAGGGCAGCGGCGAACGCGCCGCTCGCGGACGCCCGGTGCTTAGATCAAGTCTTTCTGGAAGCCACCAACACGGTTGCAGTCAATTTTCACTTCATGCCGACACCTCGTGCGGAAGGGTTCCCAGATAGAGGAGGCAAAGGCGCTGGCAAGGGCCCCAAGCGCTGGGGCGATGGAAAAGGGTATGGACAATGGAAATATCAGAGGACCGACAAAGGAGACAAGGGCCAGGGAGGCAAATCAGGCTTCAAGGGGGCCCGCCTCCCCACAAAGGGCAAATTTGACAGTGGCAAGGGAGGCTTTCCGAACAAGTCCCTTGTCTTGCAAGGAGGCAAGGGGGAGACCCCCATGCCGGCCGCCTTGCGAGGCGGAGTGCCGAACGACGAGCAAGGAGAGCCTCTTTGTTTTGGCTTCAACCTAGGACAGTGCAAGGACGCCCCATTGGGGGGCAGATGTGCACGTGGCAGACATGTGTGTTGTCACCCAGGTTGCTTCCGGAAGCATCCCTTTTCTGAGCACAAGCATTCAGGCCAGGCAGCCTGAAAGAACGCCATGGGGGAGGGTGGAGACAGTTCGGCCCAATTTTGTGAACAGAACAATTTTCCCGCTTCTGAGGCGGACAGGCCCGAAGAGAGCTGCAAGGACTCGTACCCTGCTGCTATTGCGAAAGAGCAAGAGAAGCAGCCCGCTCAAGCGGGTGGCTGAGCCAATCCCACAATTTTCCAAGCCTCCAGCTGCTTCTTCTGCATTTTCACCTCAGGCGAGTCATCACGGCGCGCAGAGGTCTGGACAAGCGCAATGTACTGCGCCCCAGACCATACAGGAGTGTTGGGTTTTGGAAATTTTCGCGGGGTCGGCCGGGATTACCTCGGCAGCTGCTTCAGCCGGCCTCAAGCGGTCAGTCGGAGTAGACAATGTCCGCATGCCGAGGCGCAAGGGCAAGATCATACAGCTGGACTTGCTCCTGCTGTCGCACCAAGGTCTGCTGTGGAAATGGCTGGGTTCTCCAGGACTGGTCGCCGTATGGCTGGCGCCGCCCTGCGGCACATCCAGCAGGGCCAGGGAAATCCCGCTTCCGGGGGAGGACGAGCCGCGTCCTTTGCGGTCAGTGGAGTGCCCGGAAGGGCTCCCAGGCCTTGGCCCAAGTGATGCAGAAAGGGTGGCAAAGGCTAACGAGCTTTACCGGCTCACGGCCCGAATCTGGGACTTCTGCTGCGAAAATGACATTGTGGTAATCATAGAGAACCCCTATCGCAGTTTCTTCTGGCATTGCAGCGCCATTGAACACATCCTCAGGAGTGAACAGGCGATCGTGGTCCAGTGCGACTTTTGCATGATGGGAGGTTCGAGATTGAAGCGGACGGCCCTGTTGTGCAACAGCGACCTCATCACAGGCCTGGCTGTCACGTGTGATGGATCCCACGAGCACCTGCCCTGGAAAGTGCAAGAGGGAGTTCTCGCAACAAAGCTTGAGACTGCGTATCCACACCAGTTTTGTAAGCACTTTGTTTCCCTGCTGCTGCAGCATCTGACACAGAAGGGTTGTCGGGATGGTCTGAATCTCTTGGAGGCAGATCCCGCAAACTCCTCAGGAGCCAGGGTGGTAACGACACAGGCGAAGACCAAAAGGGCTGCATCGTTTCAGGTTATCCCCGAATTTCGCAGACGAATCAGATGGACAGTGCCCGGCCAACTCCGTAGTACTCTCCAGACTACACAGTGGTTGGCACCGGACAGGATCCCGGGCTTCAAGGCGCCAGGAGCCCCGGCGCTGAGAGTGACGCCCCTACTGTCTTCTGCGACGGATGTGCTGGTGGAGGTCCCGTGGAACCCACAGGAATTTGTGGCGAAAGCCCGACTGGCCGGCCACCCCCGACACCTGTGTCTCGGGGTGCCACCCGCCCTGCGGAAGGCAATTTTGGCGTGTTCTAAACAGCCTGCAACCAAGGTGATTGAGACTCGAGCTGCGCAGTCACGGAGATGGCTCCAGCGAGCCCAGGAGCTGCAGTTAGCTGAAGACGACTTCAAAGCCAAGCTGCCCGAGCACATCCGCAGCAGCCTCCGTAACAAGAGAATACTGCTCTTCAAAGAGATGCTAGAAGCGTCCCACTACGCCGACAAGGCAGTGGCAGACGACCTGGCACAGGGTTTTGATCTTGTGGGGCATTTGGACCTTCCGGCAGGCTGGTCCACCGACTTTCGTCCAGCATTCCTCTCCCTGAAGGACCTGTCCCAACTGACGCAGGAGACCAACCACCAGGTCATCAAGGAAGTTGAGGACTCATCTCAGTTCCTGGAAGAACTGTGGCAGAAAAGTCTCGATGAAGTATCAAAAGGCTGGTCGGAAGGACCTTTCCGAGAGCAGGACTTGCCACAAGGAGCTGTAGTCAGCAAACGTTTTGCAATCCAACAAGGGAACAAGGTCAGGCCGATTGACGACCTGTCCCAGAGCCACATCAACGAGGCATTCGGGAGCATGGGGAAGATCGAGTTGCATGACATCGAGACAATTGCAGCGTCGGCCATCTTGTTCCTGAGGCACGCAGGACAAGGACTGCTTGGTAAAACCATTGACCTGAAATCAGCATATAGGCAACTACCACTGTCCGAAGAGGCACTCAACATGGCCTACGTGGCTGTCAAGGACCCCAATTCGGGGGAGGTTCGCTTCTTTAGGCTTCTCTGCCTTCCATTCGGCGCTGTGGCGGCGGTCCATGCATTCATCAGGGTCAGCCTGGCTATTTGTCATATAGGAAACACGTTTTGGCACTTGCCTTGGAGCTCTTTTTACGATGACTTCACACTGTTGTCAACACGACAGCTGGCCACTAGCGCAGAGGCCAGTGCATGTTTTCTGCTAGACTTGCTCGGCTTTGAGTTTGACAGAGACGGAGACAAGGCCCAGCCGTTCCAGGAGGTCTTCAGATCTTTGGGGGTCGAATTTGACCTTACAGCACAAGCAGATATTTAGGATCCAGAATACAGCAGAGCGGACCAAAAGTCTCATCGAAGACCTGGCAGCCTTTCAGGAGCAAGGAGCCTCAAGCCCTAAGACCTGGAATCGACTGAGGGGAAGGCTGCACTTCGTGGCGGGCCAACTCTCTGGGCGCTTGCCGAAGGGCTTCATGAGAAGAATCTCTGACATCATCAATGCCCCCGCATATGTCAGGAGACAAAACCAAGCCTCCCTTTGCGCAGCACTGCAGGGGCTACGACACTACATAGCCGAGGCGTCGCCGAGGATAGTGCGAGCCCAGACCTCAGAGACGGTGTACGCCTTTACGGACGCCTCGCAAGAAGGACTCCAAGGCCTCGAAATGGGCCTGGGAGCAGTCCTGTTCAATCAGGAGGGGCACATCCTGTGCTGGTTTGGCATTGTGTTGCCGCATGACCTTGCTGAGAAACTTCTGCAAGGAAAGTCTAAAGTCATCAACGAGCTCGAGAGCATAGCTGTTCTCCTGCTATTCATTCTAGCCCGAGAGTTTCTGCGGGGGAAACATGTGATGTGCTACTTAGACAATGAGGCGGCGCGCATAACGCTCCTCAAGCTGACCAGCGATTCAGAGGCTTTGACCCTCTTGAGCAATGCTTGCGCATTGTTAGAACAGGAGCTTGAGATGATTCCGTTCTACGCTCGGGTACCGAGCAAATCCAACGTGGCGGACGCCCCGTCTCGCCTTGACTTTACAGGGCTGCCACACAATTGCAGGTTCCAAGACCAGGTGCTTCTTGCGGAAATGGCCAAGCTGGTGAACTCGCTCGTCGGGCGCGGGGCCTGAAACCCCATGACCAAGGAAGGGACTTGCATTCTCCCCGACCAAGAGAGGGAGCTTTCGTTTCTCACACACCTGCAGAGGACAGATCTCGGATGGAAGCAGACATAGCAAATCCCCTTCCTTGGAAAAGATGCCAGTGCATAAGCTTCAGTCGTGTTAGCGTGAGGGTGCATGTCATTGCAGTCGGTGCATGTGAATAGCATTGCCGTGCATGGAACACCAATGAATGAGCATAACATCGATGGATCGCGTACTTTCAGCCAGGCGATGTTTTCATACATGTGAAACATTTTTGTTTGGAAAATAAGGTAATCGTGCTGTAAGTACAAACCTTTATTTTCCGGAGAAAAATTTTCGAATTCTACGAATGAGAAAGTTTTTCGGCTCAGACGAAGAGAGGCCACAGCCCTCTCAGCCACAACCCTCGTGGAGAGGGTCCGGGAAAATTTTTCTGCCCACCCACCCACTCCAATTGTGCCTTACATTGGGCAGTTGAGATGAAACGTGATGCCGGAACAGCGGGTCTTGATGAAGAGACGAACAGAGAATCAAGGATCCAATGGCTGGCAGTGATGGTAACCAATGTGCCGGTTGTGGATGTTGTGCTTTGTAGAGTGGCGACCACAGGAACAGTTGACGACGTCAAGTTTGCGGTTGCTGACGATGTGTGGCATCGCTCTGGGCATGACTTACGTACTTCCAGTTTCCGCTTGGAAATGCAGGGTCGTCATGTGCCTTACAGCACGAACCTCAGCGATCTACCGGTGCACCTCGGAACATGTGTGCACTTCGTTGTTCAACTCAACCATTGACAGGCCGCTCACTTAGGCGGAACCGCTGAGTGCAGCAGAGAACTCTGCTTTCAGCACTTTGTGTAGCGTTTCACGGGGGAGCTTTCGTTTCTCACACACCTGCAGAGGACAGATCTCGGATGGAAGCAGACATAGCAAATCCCCTTCCTTGGAAAAGATGCCAGTGCATAAGCTTCAGTCGTGTTAGCGTGAGGGTGCATGTCATTGCAGTCGGTGCATGTGAATAGCATTGCCGTGCATGGAACACCAATGAATGAGCATAACATCGATGGATCGCGTACTTTCAGCCAGGCGATGTTTTCATACATGTGAAACATTTTTGTTTGGAAAATAAAAACACTGTCAAACCCACCCCGGTCCATTCCGAGCTGCCCGCGAACGGCGGAGTCGCTGTGTTATCCAAATTAAAAAACATTGTTTTTTTGTTCCGGAAAGCCTAGGAGTCGCAGTTTCACCCCCCCAATCTAGTTCCAAATTGTATTGCGGAAGCTAAGTCCATTTCGCGGCTCCATTTTTGAGGCCGCAAGACGGCCCGTTTTTTTGACTCTTGAATATAAGCTTGTAGGCGCAAGCAACCGGATCGCGCCTGCCCTTTTTCTAGTAACTTTGGGCAGCGTCGCGCTAAGCGTGGGGGCTTGTCCAAAGCAGCTGCACGCTCGTCTTTGTAATAACTGCAACTGTGGAGGCCCGTTCTGGCGAAGCCAGAATTGCTTGTGTTTTGCGGCCCGGGGTCGCCCGACTTCCCCGTAACTTGGACTTCGTCCTGGCAATGCTGAGGTCTTTGTTGGTGTTTTCTGTGGATAGGAGCCACGCTTCAAGCTCTGGGAAGTTGACCAACGTGGCCTCAATGTTTTCTGAGGTTGTGCAGAGTCGCTTGCTAGACATTGCAGAATGAAAGTTTTGTGGCAGGCTTGGGCTTTGAACAGCAAAGATATTTAAGTGTGTTGCAGGCCCGGATGTTAAGTTGCCATGCGCCCAATGAAGAAGAAGATTTTGGGGAAGGGCGACGTTCCCAGCGACAGAGTTGTGCACGTGGGTTTGGAGTGGGTTTGACCATGTTTTGAAGGGACTGAGAATAGCGGGTGTGGGGTGGGGTTTGGCTGAGTTTGACCATGCTTGGAATGGATCGGGGTGGGTTTAACAGTGTTTAAAAGGACTCCAAATTGGTTGGACCTGTTTAGAAGGGGTGCGGGTGGGTGGGGTGGGTTTGACCGTGTTTTGAAGGTGGGATGGCTTTGGGGTGGTTTTGACCATGCTTTGACGGGGCTGGGATGGGTTTGACCATGTTTTGAAGGTGCCCTTAGCTTTCGGGTGGGTTTGGGGTGGGCTTTTTTTGAAAGGGTTGGGGTGAGGGGCCTTGACTGTGTTTTGAAGAGGCTGGGAAGGGGGCTTGATTTCCACAGCAAGTGCTAGGAGACCGAGTTCCTGCATCGGCTTAACCTGCTTGAGAACGTAGCGAAGGTCACTTTCCTGCTGCGTGATGGAGGCCCTCCACCCCCGTAGAGTCTTAGCAAAAACGGACCAAGGTGGCGAGCCTGCCCGAACGGCGGAGTCGCTGTGTTATCCGAATTAAAAACAATGTTTTGTTATTCCGGGAAGCCTAGGACTCCACGGCACTGTATTGGTAAATTGCAATTTGCGAGGACTCCGCCGACTCCTCCGAGGCTTGTCACGCCGACTCCGCCAGAGCTACAGTAGGTGCCCGTCTAATCTTGATTAGCGACGCCGCGTAAGTGGGCAGGGGTAGAGTTGCGGGAAGAGCACGTGACTATTCGCTGGAAGTGTGTCAGATAGTAGAAGCAGAAGGCAGTGTGTGTGTGTGTGTGAGGCTTGCAGCTGTGATTCTGTGACCTCCAAATCTGGGGTCGAAAAATCTAGGCAATTCTGGCTTCGTGTGTGTGGGCCTCCCCTGTAGCTTTGTGTTTGGCAGCTGTGTCGCAAGTCCGTACAACCTTATTGGAGACCTCTCATTCTTGCCAACGTTTGACGTGCCACTCGCAATCCTTTTTTAGGATGCAAGAAGTGAAAGCCGAGCATATTTGCTCCTCTGCTTTCATGGCCGCCGTGACACCGAGCCCAGCATCCAAACTGGCCACACAAGGTTCCCAATGTCGCGCCCAGAACTTGATGAGCCAATCAACAAGCAAGCCGCAGAAGAGAACGAATGCCAGCATCAGAGAAGCAGCCTCATCTCAGAGCTGAAGCAGGCATTTCGGCTCGAGATCCAGAAGCGAGGACTCCGCGACTTAAGGCGCGCGCACTGCTCGCAGGACCAGAAGTCCAGACTGCGCAGGGCGGGCATGACCAGGGGCGGCACCAGCCTTGAAAGTAGCAGCAGCGCCGCGGACATCCGCTTCACAGCGAGCAAGGTAAGAGCCATGTCTGCGGAGACGATCGCAGCATCATTAAAAGATCATTAAGATTGCAGTGTGCCTCATCAGCCACGGAAGTCGGAAAAATTGTTTTCCTCTGTGAATAAGAGTCAGCGAGTGCCGGTAAACCCCCCCTCTGAGAAGAGAGAAATGGCCTGCAAGTGTTTTACATAAACCTCATTGTGTAAGGTGTTCCAACAAATGTGTCAACTCTTGTGACACTATGAGCAGCAATGCTTCTTCGTAACTTGGGTGTCCATTCTGAAGCCTCAGTGCTAAGAATCTAGCTGTGTTTTGCTGGTCTGCCAATGTCTAATGAGTCTAATGGCATAGTACCTTCCTTGAGGGAGAGCCGACGGTCTTCTATCATGGACAAGTCGGAGCTTGGATCTTATTGTAATGCAATAACGCTGAAGGAGCTCTGCGGTGGTGCTTCCATGAAAATAGTTTCGGATGCATTTATAAGGTCCTCTATTGCGTGCTTGTGCCAGTAGCGCGGAACAGTCCGTATGGGTGGAAAGTTGGTTAAATCAACCTGAAGGTAAGGCTGTCCTTCAGCCTAATCAAAACATTCTCACAGAGCGGGAGTTCCTGCAAGGTGATCGGCAACTTTGTTGCCCACTCTAGGGACATAGGACCAACGCACACGAAAATTTGTATGTGTGAGCTTCTGCCACATTGCATTCAATTTACGTACAATATCCTCTCTGTGTAGGCGAATGCAACCAACAATGCTTCACAATGTTAAAATAGTTCCTCTGCATAACTACTTCAATTTGCCCCTGCCTGGCATGTTCGAGCAATTTGTCTAGAGTTGCCTCCGCAGCGTGAATTTCGGGGCACGGTTCCAAGGGAAATGGCAATGGCAATGGTATCAAGCATGACGGAAATAGGTCCAGGTGACCATCTGACTCCTCCAATGTCTCCTATGCCCTCTCGTATGAGCCTCCCTATTCCATATCCCCAATTATACACAACATGCGTTTCGACTCTACACTGACTGACTACGATGTCGCCATCTGGTAGACGGGGGCCGGACAGTGCGATGATATCATTGCTGTGCAATATGTTTGATTCGACGTTGTCGATTAGTTCATTTGAGAGATTGAGAGATTGACAACGATGAATCTCTATTTGATCATTCTGAAATCAGCAATAGGAAAATATTGATGAGAGGGTCAACACGAAAACGACCTATTAGAGTGCCACACGAATTTATCATGGCGTGATTCTGCATGACTTTTGATTTGTATTACGTGGCTGAATATGAAGATTATAATATATCAGATTTTGATATATGAAACATAATTAAATAACATTTTATTTTTAGATAGAATTGGGTTTATCAATGAACCATCTCGCGCGCTGCTTGATCCTTACGTGCATCGGAGATTATGCTCGTCGCATAAAAATGGCCATCCTTACCTCAATCTTATGGATGGACAACAATGATAAGTCAATTATAGAGAGAAAGGAATTCCGAATTCTCGCTGAAGTTCATCGACTTAATCTGATATGGAAACAAATTATCATCTGAATGGTCACCACGCTGGTAATAATTAATCGAAGATAATTCTCCGAGATCCATCGAAGTCAAATGAATGCTTCGGATGGAATATTTAGTGGGTCCTAATGTCGTCGTAATCTTCTTATATTTGTATGAGTGGTTGATGAATATTAACTTCCATTCGAATCCCCTTGTAGGGAACCCATAGGATCATGGATCGAGCCTAATGTCTGAATATGATGGATATTTATGGAGATTGAAATCACGTTTTGTCTCGCCGGAACACTTTTTTGCTTTCGATGGTTTGCATCCTTTTTGATTCGTTGTATTGGGAATCTTCGGTTCTTCTTATATATTCGTCTTTCTGGGATGCCTCGTAATTGGGTAGTGGCGGATCTTTAAATATGTTGGGTGCCTGCTCGCAGGTGCCGCAGTCTACTGGGGTTGGCGTAGGAACGAAGCGCAACCGACTGTCAAAAATGAAAGTACATAAAAATTCACCTCTTCAGAACTTGACCATCTCTTGTGCCCCGCACCTCCTGCCCGCAGTTATTTTATTTTCTTGTACATGCTGCACTTCGATTTCCATGCTTTGGATTTACCCATGATGCATGTTGACTTTGAGCTTGCCGCCGTAGCCAGCACAGCTCTGGCCTATCACACGTGTCAGAGCGTCAAATTTTCTTTGTGACCCACCCACCCACCCGGGGGGAAACAAGATGCTGCTGAGCAACAGCGGACAGGTGAGAGGATGAGTGTTCCATCTGCCACCTGCTGTCTTTACCCCCCCCCCCCCTTAGCCATTTTGGCTCAAGCACAGCTCTGGCCTATCACACGTGTCAGAGCGTCAAATTTTCTTTGTGAACCGTGTGGGTGCCCAAACAGGTTCTGCTTCAACCAGGCTCCTTAACCTGCGCCGTTAGGGCACCGTGCACGCAGCCCCGTGGGGGCTGCAGATGGGAACACTGGTCCCTGAGGACTCGAGAGAGCTCACTTGCGTTTGACTTGGGCTCACGCCACTTCTATAGGTCGCATTTCCCAGTCCCTTCTTGAGCTGCAATTGCAAGTGCAAGCACAAGCTTCTGACATCGAGGATTTGCAGTCTCAGGTTCAGAACTTGTCATCGCAAGTTGGACTCTTGTCTGCTGAGCGAGCCGGCTTCTTGCGTGCTGTGGGTGTGCCGCCCACTGCGTGGTCTGGGACGTCCCCCTGGACTCTTGTTCATCGAGTTGTGGACGGCATCCAGCGGCGCTTAGGCCACTTGTGGCGTGTGTTTGGTCCGCGTCAGCCGACGCCCGACCTGTCTGCCCTTGATCCCTAACTTTTAACATGACCCTAAGCTCGGGCCCCGCATCCGGGCCTCGCATTGTTCACTTGCGTGATTGCAATCATGAAGCTTGCTTGAGGATTTTGCAGCCTGAGTTACACTGGCGCGTGAGAGTAGACATGTGGCTTCGTGCATTGCAGAGCAACCTCCCGCCTCCGCAGGTTGAACCATCTGGCTTGCCAGGAGAGAGCACGCCCCCTGTTTCTTGGTGTTGCAGTTTTGACCGTCCTCCCTCTCTTGGAAAAACTTGTTCCGAAGATGCCTCGCCCGGGGCAGCTCAGAGGCTTTTCGCCCGTTTGCCGTTGGCCAAACGCATACGCTTGTGTGGGCACACTGACACATGCACGCGTACCCTGAGCACTGTCTCGCTCCCATAGTGAGCTGCAGTCGCCATGAGTCCTCCTGAATTTTGCTGGGGACTCTCAGTCAGGAGTGACTTCTTTCTTGAGCCTTGTAAACGACTTCTAATCTCTTTCATTACTCTTCTGCCACCTCCAAGATGTCAGATTCTGCACGTGAGTGAAGTGACTTGCGTGCCAATGCCCCCTGGAGCAGAAATGACCCTCCTTGCATGAGTGCACTTGACAGAACTGAACTCAATGTGTGCTTTGCTTGATGTGACGTTGCAAGTCCAGTCATCGGTTTGCAGTTATGCATCTCCTTGCGAATGATTTTGTGTCAGTTTTTGGTTTAAAGTACGTCTTCGCTTGAGAATAGCCCTGAGCGCCCTGACGCTAATGGATCAGGTCATGTCATCTTTGAGACACATCGAGGCAGTTTCGACCGCTTGGGAGATGATTTCCCCCAAAATCACGGATCATTCACAGAAGAGTTGGATGCCATCGATGAATTTCAGGTCCCGTCTCCATCGCCGTTCTTCCAAGACAAGCATGATGGTTCCGAGGTTGTGAGTACCAATTCCCGAGCCAGAGAAGCCATATGGTACGAGCCAGTTGCTGACGCGCCATCAGAATGCCAAGACGACCCTGTGCATGAGCCTGCACCTAAAGCCCGCAAGACTATGGCCATGCAGTGCAATGAATCCAGTCAGTTGCCTCTGCCTGTTTCGCAAGCATTGTACGAAGAGAAGCGCAAGCCTATCATGAAGTTTCCGTGGGAGCAGGGATTCGGAGCCGCGGTGTTTGAAGGTCCTCGCCACAATCTCCAGTATCCCTTCACATTGTCTTTTCTTGGACGCGCAGAGTCAACTGCAGATCTTATTGCTCACCGTGATGGTTCAGCTGGGGCTTTCGAATGGGTTGTGCAAAATCAGCAGAGGGCCAAGCGCCTTTATGCCACCAGGATGGCCAAGTCAGACGATCAGTTGCGTCTTGCTGCCTTGACTAGATTGCGCAACATTGTCCTCTTCGAACCGAGCGACTCCAAGCTAGGTCGTTCCCTACTGGAGGCTAGCGGGTGCATCATCCCGGCACCAAAGCTTGCATCTATCTTGTCTGACGTATATGCAAGCAAAGCAACGGCTACCTTGTGCAAGCGCTCATGTGACTTCATGCGCTTCTCTGTCTGGCAGGTGCAATCCAACGGGGGTCGCCCGTTAGCCCCCACCGAGCAGCATATGTATGACTATATTTGTCATCTTCGTGATCAAAAGGCCGCGCCTACTGCTGCAGGGGCCTTTGTGTCGTCTTGGAGGTTTATGCACTTCACCGCTGTGACCAACAGCACTGATTGCATTTCTCCTCGTGTCGAAGGAGGTGCCCACAACTGCTACATGGAGAAACGGCCCTTGCAGCAAGCCCCAGCACTGAAAGTTTGGCTAGTAAAATCCCTCGAGAAGGCAGTCTTCGATGGATCCGTGATTCATTCCATCATCGCTGGGTTCTGTCTTTTTTGCCTCTTTTCTTGTGCTCGATGGAGCGACGCCGCCAAGGCCCGAAGCTTGTCCATTGATGTTTCGGGCTCTGTGTTCTTGATCGAGGCTCTGATGCTTGGGCACAAAACCGCGAAGAAACAGGCTGATCGGCGCACATTGATGCCTCTGATTGCTCTAGGGCATACCTTCAGTAGTCAGCCATGGGCTGAAGCGTGGCTGAAGTCACGCCGGATCGCTGGCCTCGAGGACGAGCACTTGTTGATGCCAGCTTGCGATGAGATGGCTGAATGCTTTCTTGAGAGGCATATGACGGCTGCTGAAGGTGGCGCCTGGTTACAGGAAATTTTAGCCTCTAGACATCCTGACTTCAAGGACATCAAACTTTACACGACGCATAGCCTCAAGGCCACGCCCTTGTCGTGGGCTACCAAGTCGAATCACTTCACCGATGCCGAAAAACGTGTGCTCGGTCATCATGTGGGGCCTGGCGAGGCAATGCCTGTCACCTATGGCCGCGATGTGATGGCCCCCGTGCTCGGCAAGTTGCAACACCTCGTCCACCAAATCCGCCAGGGTGACTTCGACCCTGATGCCAGTCGTGCCAGCCGTGTGGCGCAAATTGCCGCGGACTTGACGCGCGAGGATGCAGCCAAAGCACTTCAACGCTTTGACGAGTCCGAGGTTTCTGACGTTGACCTCGAAGATCACGATGATCTCCAACACCAATCCTGCCTGGTGCCAGCTTCTACTGACGGGCTGAAGGAACCAGAGGTCGGGAAATATGTCCAGCATTGTATTTCATCCATTGTACATGCTGTTTCTGCGAGCCCCGCTACTCTCAAGTGCGGGAGACCACTCAGTCAAAACTACTATGCCATTTCTTATGACCCCCTTGAGCCGCGTGACTTCATCCTGTGCGAACAGTGCCGGGGCACGCGAAGCCTGGGAGAGTCAGTATGACCACGTTTTCATGTGATCTTGCAGTCTAGGGTTGCTTTTCTTTTAGTCGCCCTATCCACTGACTCCGCCCTGCAGTGATTCTAATTCAAAACCCCCCCCCCCTAGCCGTATCTTCAAGTTCATCTTTGCATAAGAGAGTCGGCAATTCCACTACTTTACTGATTTGCCTGCAGGAGATCAAAACATGCACGTGCTGATTTGCCATCTGCTGAGATGTTCCGATGTACATGCATGTCCTGCTATGCACTTTCCATGCTTCGTGTTGTATGCCACGAACAATGACGCGTGACCTATGCAAGGCTCTCAGGGTCCACTCTTTTGTCTTGCAAGCTGCAGCCTGAATGCCATGTCGTCCACCATGCTTGAGTCCGAAGCCAGCTTCACCGATAGAGCGCTGGCAGTGGGCATGGAGGCAGCATTTGTGAACAGTCTTGTTGGTGCCGGTATCAACAGTTTTGGTCGCCTTGCTTACATTTGCGCCGTCAACCCCCAAAGTGGCGACGATGCCCCATTAATCGAAGCTGTGGAGAAACTCTTGAAGCGTGCCTTGGCTGCTCGCGAGATCCCAGATCTTCGTCGCCTGTGGTTTGAAGCTCACACTTTCGCAATTTCGGACTTGAAGTCCCGAGTTGAAAGATCCACTTTGGACCCCCCAAGGGAACTTCCGCTGGCAGAGAGAATTTCTCGTCTGGAGGCGCAAAAGCGTCGCTTGCCCAGTCTCGTCTTTACAGAGCGAGTTGAACCTTCTCACGGTCTAGTCGACAAGCTGCAATCTATGATCGACAGTGGCACCATCACTTACTTGCCCCCACATAAGTGCCCATCCCGAGCCCAGGAAATCTCTAATGACAAGCCGATGCAGCAGGTGACCCTTGATTCTGAGGGCGCTTTGAAGATCTCCAAACGCCACGCCGATCTGGAGTGTGAGACTCGGGGAGAACTCAAGCTTCGTGAAGCCTTTACCAGGCGTGCTCTTGCGTACGACCAGGTGGGTCTCATGTCGTTCATTGCCCAGGAAAAGTGGCATACGTACTTGTTTGATGCCGTCACACGCGAGCCTCCACCCAACCACCGCTATGTCAGCATCGGCCAAGCCCTGAACGCCGATCGTGAGCTTTGGCAGCTCATTGCCCAAGAGAGCCGCGGTGACATCAAGATCATCAAAGGCACTGATCCCCCTTTGGATGCCTTCATTAAGCGCTTTCAGCCCTCTCCGCAGGTGAATGTCTGTTTGGCCCCCCTTCCTGCCTTCTCCCCTTACAAGGGAGAGCGTCCAGATGGTGGCAAGGGCCCTGGTAAAAAGGGCGACCGCGCCAGCAAAGGCAAGGGTTGGGCCTCTCAGGGCAAAGAAGGCAAGGGCACGCCTTTGAAGCGCAAAGGCGAGACCCTGCAGCAGGATCCCCGTCGTGCAGAAATCCTCAAGCTTTTGCGTGAGATCCCTCCCAACTGCGTTTCTCGCTTGCCCAAGACTCGGCAGTTCATTTGTGCCCTCTTCCAGCATGGCAAATGCCCACATCAGTCCAAGGAGCGTTGTGAGCGTGGTCTGCACTGCTGTTGGCATCAGGACTGCTTCAAGAAAGGCGTGCCCTTCTGTGAATGCAGTCACTCGTGACTAGGGCCTGTTGTTTCCGGCACCACCGACTCCCCGCCTTTTGCGGTTTTCTTCGAAATTTGTTGCGGTTCTGCTGTTTTGTCATACGCTGCCGCATGCAAGGGCTGGCATGTTTTCCCCATCGACCACGCCAGCAATCGTTTCAAGCCACGCGTTGCCTTTTTGCCCATTGACCTTAGCCTCTCTTCTTCTGCTCTTTTGCTCGGGGACATGTTGCGTGTTACCCGAGCATCTTGGATCCACCTAGGGATCCCGTGCGGGACATCCAGTCGTGCTCGGCAAATTGCCGTTCCGGCTCATTTGCGTGCTCAAGGAGCACCTCAGCCTCGCCCGTTGCGTTCAGCCAAGCATCCTTTAGGTCTGCCTCATCTTCAGCCCGCCGAAGCTGCGCGTGTGGAAGCCGCCAATGCTGTTTACCGGACTTGTGTTTCCTGCCTCCATCAGGCTTGGCTCCTGGGCGCCACTGTTTCCATCGAGAACCCCGACACGGCCTGGACCTGGGCTGCCCTCGCCCTCTTGGTCAAGCAGTTCGCCGCTGAGCAATCCTGCCCTGAGTTTGCTGATTGGTACTTTGGCCTTGAAGACGTGCGTTTTGACATGTGCATGCATGGCGGCGACCGCCCTAAGGCGACTCGTTTCCGAGCCACCCCATCTATTTTCAGCTCTCTTGCCATCAGATGCGACCAGACCCATGCCCATCGCCCTTGGTCCGTCCAGAAAGAAGGTCACCGTTGGCTGTTCGACACTGCTGCAGCTGCCCAGTACCCTTCTCTCTTGTGTCAGCGCGCCGTTGATGCCGTCTCCGCGGGCCTTGACCCCCAGTTCCTGCAGGACACAACGCAGGCTTTTCGCCTTTCCTCCTTGGCTTCCATTGGTGTCCAGAAGCCAAAGCATGTTGCCCTCATCCCCGAGTTCAAAGCCAAGGTATGGGCAGCCGAGCCGCCTGACCCTGATGCCAAGCCCCTCCCAGGTGTCACATGCAGTCAATGCAGTCAGTCTCAAGCCCAGGACCCTGCCACTCCGTGCTGGCCTGTGCCTTTGATATCCCCAGAAGACCTCCCGTGCCCTTGCTTGACGTCAGCGCCCCCCCACGAGCGACTGGCATGGTCACTTGTGCAGTCGGGTCAGGCTTCGCGTGACGACTTGACCACACTTTGTCATTTACTCCCGTCCGATCCCGCTTCCCGCCGCAACCGCCAAGCCGAAGGCGTTGCTTGGACATGTGGAGCCTACACTTTCTCTGGGGACGTCGGTCTGCATCGTTCTGTGCGTACCAGCCCTTGGACGAGTCTTGTCTTGGCCGCTGTGGTCTGTCACTTTGCTCCAGGTGCCATGTGCACGTCCATTGCTGTCTTTTGCGACATGGCCAGCCCCGTACACTGTGATCGGTTCAACGACCACAGATTCTTCAACGTCTTGGTCCCTCTCAGCCACTTCCAAGACGGCGATGTCTGGGTCAGATCTTCTTCCGGTGTGCACCCGGCCCCTGACGGGTCGGGGGTCATGGGCGAACTCATCCCTGTTTCCGCGGGACCTTGTTTGCTGCGCACATCTGTGCCCCATGCTGTCATGCCGTGGCGCGGTAGTCGCGTCGTCTTGGCAGCTTTTGTGGTGTCCTCGTGGCCCCGGTTGCCCCAAAAAGACCTTGCTTCTTTGCAAGAGCTTCGATTCCCGTGGCCCAATGTGCATTGCTCTGCCTCCAATGCCGCGTGGGGAGAAGGAGTTGGAGGCCTCATCTACAAGGCCACAAACAGTGTCAAGCCGCAAGCGTGGGGTGTGTACTATACGCCAGAAGAGCACCTCGGATGCGCCATCAACTTGCCACACCCCATCGATAAGGCGTGCTCTGTTCCGGACATACTCAGAAGGGCAGTGTTCGATCTTGCAACGGTTGGTTGCAAAGAAATGCACAAAAGGCGTCTTGCTAAACTCGAGGAAATCAAGGACAGAGCATCCTATCGCCAGGTGCAGGAAGGGCACCCCATCACCAAGGGAAAAAGGTTGGCTTTGTTCAGGGAGCTTTTGGTTGAGTCAGGTTTCCCCGACTTGAGTGTATGCGACTTCATGGAAGAGGGTGTCAGCTTGGTGGGTGCAGAACCCGATTCCCCTCTCTTCAGCATAAGGCCTAAACCAATGACAATGACCCCTGAGCAGCTTGATTCGCAGTCCGTCTGGCGCAGAAGGGCGCTTCTATCATCCCCGCCTCAGCAGTTGGAGCCTGAAGAGCTCATGATGCTCAATGATGAGACAGAAGCCGAGTGCAAGGCCGGCTTCCTCGAGGGCCCCTTTAGTTCTGAAGCAGAAGTGTCATCTCGCCTCGGCACAGACCAATGGTCTCCAAGTCAAAGGTTTTTGCTCCTTCAGGGAGAAGACCAGAAGCCAAGGGTCATCGACAACTTGCGTGATTCGGGCGTGAACGCTGCGTTCGGTTCCAGCTCATACCTGTCAATGCATGACTGCGACTTTGTGACGAGCTTGTGCCTTTTCGTCTCCAAGGTTTGGGCCAACAGGTCTGAGGTATCGGTCACTCTTGAGACGGGCGAAGTCTTGAGGGGGCCGTGGCACAACTGCGAATGGGTTGGGCGATGTTTCGACTTGTCTAAGGCCTATAAGCAAGTACCCATCAAGGAAGCATCTCTAAAGTACGCAGTCATTGCAATGCCTTCCAGGACAGGTTGTTGGGCCTTTTATCTTGCAAGGGGCTTGCCTTTCGGAGGTTCCGGATCTGTGTTCTCCTTTTGCAAGGTATCCAAGGCTATATGGCACCTGGCCGTGACGCAGCTCTCCATCATCTCCAGTGTATACGTTGATGACTTTCCAACTCTTGAGGTCAGCCCTCTCGCCCCAAGCACGACCCACGTGTTCTCAGATCTCTTGGATACCTTGGGGTGGGCCCATGCCACCTCTGGAAAGAAAGCTGTTGACTTCCAACAAAAGTGGTGCGCCTTGGGAGCACAGTTCGACGTATCACGATTGCATGAGGGGTCCCTGCAGGTGTCCAACAAGCCTGGCAGGCTTGAGCGCATTCTTTCCATGGCCGAAACTATGGAGGTGCCTGAGGCAAGGGTCAAGCAAACTGCTGAGTCACTCCATGGCTTGCTTAACTTCGCAGGGGGGTTTGTTCTAGGGCACGCCTTCAAGCCGGTGGCCAAACTGTACTCTGCATTGGCCGTGTCCCCATCATCAGCAGGGCCTGAGAGCTTACGCGAGAATCGCATGTTGCTCCAGTCCGTGGTGCAAACTTGCAAGCCAAGGGTTTTCAGCATCCACTCCCCTGGCGCCCCCCTTGTTCTCTACACCGATGGTTCTTTCGAAAAGTGTAAGGGATTATGGGGTTGTTTACTGGTTGACCCAGCATCAGGGCGCAAAGCCGTTCTCCATGGGCGTGTTCCCAATCGCATCATTTCACACTGGACCCGAGTTGCTGGCCAGCAGGTGATCTGTGAAATCGAGCTGCTGGCCGTCGTATGTGCTAGGTGGGCATTTGGGGATGCTTTCGAATCCAGGCTGGGCTTCGTGTTCGTTGACAACGAGTCCGCACGCATGACACTCATCAAGCGATGCAGCCCAGCCTTAGCGATGTTCCGGTTGATCGCAGCGTTGAGCGCTATCGATGCCGTCCATTCGTTCGGCGCATGGTACGAGAGGGTCCCGTCAAAGAGCAACCCTGCGGACCCTCCTTCAAGGGGACTGATCAGCGCGATCTGTGAGAAGCTCTCAGCCTGTGACGAGGGGTGCTTCGAAATCCCTCCTGAACTTGAAAAGTTCATCCTCAGTGACACCTTCGAAAAGCGTTTGCTCGACGATCTTGTCTCTGCGTACCAACGGAGGGCGCAGCAGCATGGCATGAAAGGGGGAAACAAGATGCTGCTGAGCAACAGCGGACAGGTGAGAGGATGAGTGTTCCATCTGCCACCTGCTGTCTTTACCCCCGCCATCTTCCAACCAGAAACCGAGCAGACTCAAGAAGGTGCGAGCGAAAAAAAAGAAGGAACAATGTCCGAGTGTTGACGCATTTTAGCTGCACAGCAGTTGTGCTGGGTTCACATGTCTTGTCACTCTTCATGTTCCATGAGTTGCTGACTTCACGCTACATGTCGGTCTACCCCGGTTAGACGTTGGGTGCCTGCTCGCAGGTGCCGCAGTCTACTGGGGTTGGCGTAGGAACGAAGCGCAACCGACTGTCAAAAATGAAAGTACATAAAAATTCACCTCTTCAGAACTTGACCATCTCTTGTGCCCCGCACCTCCTGCCCGCAGTTATTTTATTTTCTTGTACATGCTGCACTTCGATTTCCATGCTTTGGATTTACCCATGATGCATGTTGACTTTGAGCTTGCCGCCGTAGCCAGCACAGCTCTGGCCTATCACACGTGTCAGAGCGTCAAATTTTCTTTGTGACCCACCCACCCACCCGGGGGGAAACAAGATGCTGCTGAGCAACAGCGGACAGGTGAGAGGATGAGTGTTCCATCTGCCACCTGCTGTCTTTACCCCCCAAGAAGGTGCGAGCGCAAAAAGAAGGAACAATGTCCGAGTGTTGACGCATTTTAGCTGCACAGCAGTTGTGCTGGGTTCACATGTCTTGTCACTCTTCATGTTCCATGAGTTGCTGACTTCACGCTACATGTCGGTCTACCCCGGTTAGACATCGAGATATATTGAAGAGATCGAAATTCTTCTTTGTATATGGCTATGGATTTCCTGTTCGGATATCCGTGCCGCTTGGGTGATATTTTTCATCAAAGATTCTGGAATTTCACGTTGATCCGGGATTCAGTAGAAAGCAAGCGCATCTACGATCCCTTTTTCATTTTAGGACAGCGAGGGTACGAGCGTTTTCAAACTGTGATTTTCTTGGACATATGCAGTTGGTCACCTGCGCATGCTTTGAGGGCACAATGCATCACTGCCTGTGCGCGTGAGTGTGCTTGATGTGCAATGCAGTTTTTGTGGGTCACGTTTTGCTTGACTGCGTTTTTCCTTCATGTGCAGAAATTTTCTTGATCGGGTTGCTATCCCGGCTTGCAACGCAGTGCTCAAGTGTGAGCGACAGAGTGAAAATTGTGCTTGTCAGTTCCCGGGAAGGGGCCCGGGTGCTCCTCTGGCTCGATCCTTCCAGTTGGCTTGCACTTGCTTGCTCCGGCCGAAGGCCGCACGCGTGCGCCCGACAGCTTCTCCAGCTGTCTGCATAGTTGCCCTTTTCCTGGATGGCTCAGCCCCCTCGTGCCCCAGAAGGTTTGCTAGCTGGGGGTTTGGATCCTGGGTCCCTTCGTGTGCCTGAGGACAACGACCGGCGGAGACAGGCAGAGGTGCCTGTTCAGGATTATGAGGCTCATTTGGCTGCCTGCACTCGCAAGGTTAATAAGACGGGCTATTCTCGGTCTTGGGATTTTCGGTTGAGGCCTTCTTCTGTGCTCTTTACCGGTGTGGTTAGGTCGCGAGGCATGTTCCCACCAGTGCCCTCGCTTGTGCCTGTGATCACTCCAGTGACGCCAACCGTTGCTGCAGTCACGAAGATTGCGATTTCCCGGGTTCGTTTGGACGATTCTTGGGGTGCTCACCTTGAGAGGAGGCTTAGTGCTGCCATACAAAAGTGGGTTGCCTTAGTGGTTGAGGATCCTTTATCTTTTGACGTTGGTAGGCGGTGTGCTGCTTTCGTGGGAAATGACGAGGCGATTTCTCAGGGCCTTCTGCACACTTTTTCGGGCAAATCGGCAGGTACCTTGCACAGCCGGGCTGGGCCTCTCATCAGGTTTGTTGCCTGGGCCAAGGCTCGCCAGTGCAAGCCCCTACCCTTCAGCGAGGCGCTTTTGTATGATTTTCTGCTTGAATCCGAGAGCACTTGTGCGCCGTCATTCGGAAAGGCGTTGATGTCTGCACTTGCATTTTGCAAATTTGTGCTGGGCGTTGAGAATGTTTCTGATGTTCTGAGCAGTGGTCGGTTTGGGGGCTTGGCTCGTTCGATGTTCCTGAACAAAAGGAAGCGACGGCAGAAGCCACCCCTCACCGGCCGCCTTGGGCTGAACTTGTGGTTCAGGATCCTGATGCTCAGGTTTATGTTCGCCATATAACTTCAAGGAAGTTGCACCGCCTCGCTGACGAGAGTGGGAATAGGCTGAAGTGCGGAAAGGCGTGCGCGCGAAAGTTCGAGAGGCTCAGTGAGAAACCAAGGTTTATGGCTGACATGTGCTTGAATTGTTTCAAGTGAGCCCGGCTCAACTGAGGGGCAGCCGGATCACTCGGCACATGGGTCGTGTCTTTGTGACGCAGCCGGATAGACTCGGCTATGCACTCACCGGTCCTCGCGGTGGAGTTTGATTATGTGAGCAGTTGCACCGGTGCTCGCGGTGTTTTGGTGTGCCGGTCCGCTCGGCGAGCTGAAAGAGCTCAGGTTAACCGGGGCACGCGGTTTTGGAGGGAAGTCAACCATGACTTGAAAATGTGGCTGTACGGTGCTGTGGTTCCGTGAGGGTGTGATTTGCATACGACAACTTCTTGTTGTTGTGAGTGATAACTTGAGCATACAGTTTTGGCTGAAGGATCGTGTAGTGCACTTGCAGGACCATTCGCCATGGCCATCACCGAGAGCAAGGCAAACTTTTCTTCCAGGGCGACGGCCTTGGGGTTGGCTGCTGACGTTTTGAAGAAGTTCACTGATGCCGGCATTGATTGCATGAGCAAGTTTGCCTTCATTAGTGCGTTCGTGCCCGGCAACACTGACGAGTCCCCTTTTACCGATGCAGTTGCTGGGGTTTTGGGGCGCGCTGCTAATGTGGCAGAGTTGAGCGTGCTGCGCAGGCTTCTTCATGAGAGCTACAACCTCACTGTCTCAGAGCTTCAGGTGCAGGTTGAAAGAACGGAAGATTCTGCTCCGAGGCGGTTGGCGGCTCCCGATCGAGCCGATAGGCTTCAGCGGCAACAAGTCAGGCTTGCTGGCTTGAACATCCATGGCCCTACTCTCCCGGGTCATTCGGTCATCGATCGTTGCGTCCAGATGTATGAGGATAATTCTCTTTCATACCTACCTTTGCAGTCTTGTCCCTGCCGGGATGATGAAGTGAAGTTCAAGAAGGACCGAGATGACAAGATGCTTGCTGTGGATGGCACGGGGCACGTGTCTCTTAGGTCGCAGGCCGTGAAAGTGGAAGCCGACGTGTCCACTGACCTTTTGCTTAAGCATGCACTTACACGTCGTGGGCTTGCGCTGGACCAAGCTGGCATTCTGAGCTTTGCGGAGCATGAGCGTTGGTCTGAGGCGTTGTTTCAGGCTCGATTTCGAGATCCGCCAGACCAGTATGCCCGTGTCACGCTCCAGCAACTCATCCAGGCGGACAGGCAGGTTTTGTTGAAGCAGCTGATCGGACCTGTCAGGGGATTCAGGTGGTGGCTTCCGGACGACCAGTCGATCGCATTTGGAGTGACACCATGTCTTGCAACAATGTCACTCACCTGCTGCAACCCTTGCCCTTGCCTCCACCAGCTCCTTTGCATCCACGGCCTGGGCCCTATGATGACCGCAGGGGTTTGAAGGGTCGCGGCAGGGGAAAAGGGAAAGGTAAAGGAAAGGGAAATGTTCGTATGCCTGCTGAGCTGTCCGATGGTGTGCCAGTCACCGCCCGGGGCTTGCCCATCTGCTTCGACCACAACTTGGGGCGGTGTCAGCGTGCCGTTACTAGTGGCAAGTGCGATCGTGGTCTTCACATTTGTTGCATCAAAGGTTGCTTCAAGCGGGATCATGTCTATACGAATTGCCCCAAGCATAAGAGGGAGTGACTAGGCTCTGAGACGCAGGTCCACGTGACTGATGATAAAGATGTAGCACAGCTTGGTGAGGAGCTTGTGCTCTCTTCTTCCGATGATGAGATCCCTGAAGGGGAGTCATCACCGAAACACGTCCCGTGCTCGGCCTCAGTTCCGCCTCAGCCGCTTTCCGACAATCCCGAAGCTTTTGCGTCTCAGCTGCTCGAGAAGCCGTGGCTTGAGGCGAGCGATGTTTTGCAGCTTTTTGAGATGTTGCCAATGGCCGTGCCCCAGCGTGGAACTGAGGGCAAGGCTTTTGCTACCGGAGCGTTCGCTCGAGTCAAGGTTGGGTTGCGTACTAATGTTGCCGTTTTCCCTCAGGCGTCCCGCGTCTTTGCTTCATTCGTGCGCCAATCTGCCCCAGGACATAAGTTCACTTCAGTTGTGGTTTTTGAGGGGGTTCGCACTAAACCCCACCGTGATCAGCAGAACTCGTGTGTACCCAATTTGGTGGTTCCTTTGTCAAGTTTTGAGAAGGGTGATATTTGGGTGGCCACTGACTGTGGAACTGTCTCTCGACAGGTCAATGGCCAGCAGCAGAAGGGAGTTCTCTTGCCCGTGGGAGCCGGGCCCGTGCTCTTTGATGCACGTCGTGCTCTGCATCTCACTGAGCCTTGGAAAGGCCGCCGTGTGGTCTTAGTGGCCTTTTCTATAGGTGCATTTTCAAGGCTGTCCAGTGAGGCTTCTGAACGCTTGTCTGCCCTGCAGTTTAACTTGCCAAACCAGCCCGATGCTGCTGCGTTCCAAGAGCGCCCGCAATTGCCGGTGCGTCTTCCCTGGCCGCCTCGATTGCCCCTCCTTGCATCTGCGCCTTCGGTTCCCGACATTCCTAAGCCGGCTGCTGGAGAGCCCTTGTTCTTGGAGCTATGTGCTGGTACTGCCATGTTGTCGCGCTGCTTTCATGAGGTCGGCGTCCCGGTCATGCCCATTGACCACCAGCACAATCGGCACCTTCCGTTGGCTAAGGTGTGTAACCTCAGCCTCACTGAGGATTCGACCTGGGACTTCCTACGACACTTGATTGACACTTGCGACATCCTGTTTGTGCATGCCGCTCCCCCGTGCGGAACATGCTCTATGGCCCGGCATATCCGGCGCAAGGGTGTGTCTGCTGGCCCCCTTCGTTCCAAGCAGTTCCCTATGGGCTTGCCGTCCCTGAACGGAGTCGACCGGGCAAAGGTCGAGGCTGCAAACCAGATTTACACTAAGCTGGGTCGTTTCCTGCAGGACTTGGGTCGTCGTGCCATTCCTTGGTCTGTCGAGAATCCTGAGTCGAGTATGCTCTGGCAGCTGCCGTGTTTTCAGCCCTTGGTGCAGGACAACCATGTCTTCTCCTTTGACATGTGTTGTTACGGGGGGTCCCGCCTGACCCACAGGTCTTTGCTCACTTCGTGCTTTGGGCTTCGCCATTTTCGCCAGCGGTGTTCCGGGGGACATGAACATTTGCCGTGGACACCAAAGGTTGCCCCAGGTGGAAAAGTGCACTTCCCTACGGCAGACGAAGCGGCATATCCGCGTCCGTTCTGCGTGCAATTTGTGGCGCTCGTTTTCCGCCACCTTGGGCGGCCCTTGCCTGCCACGCCTGCCCCTCAGGTGTCAGCCCAGGCGTCTGCCTCTTCAGCTCGCCAGCCCCGTGGGCGCCGTATCCCTCCTGTCATGCCTGAGTTCAAGCGTGTGCTCGTGTATCAGGTTGCTGCGTTGCCCCAGGTGGATCACAAGCGTCGCTTGCTGCAACCTTTGCGGGATGCCCCGGCGGGCTCCAAGCTTATCTCCTCGACGTCTTTGCTCTCTGAAGTGGGGTTGAGTAGTGCCTCGGAGACAACGGTTCAGGCGGTTGCCGAGCTAGTTGATTCGAGCTCGTCTGAGTCAGGTGACACTGCGTCTCCTGTGGGCCCGGATGACCAGGCCAGCACGTGCTTTGAAGTGTCGCTGGGTGTGTATGCTTCCCCCGAAGAATTTGTGGATGAATGCCTGAACGTAGAGCACCCCTTTGATCAGCTGCATGCTGCGCCCGATGTGCTCAAACAGTGCCTTTTTGACATGCTGACCAAGGGGCCTGCTTGGGTCGTGGATCGTAGGGCAAAGCTACTCAAGAAGTGGACCCAGTGGGCTCGCGACCTTGAGGCCGAGGAGGCAGGCCTTCGCAAGTCGTTAGACCTTGAGGTGGCAAAGGTGTTGCAAGGTAAAAGGCTCCTGCTTCTTGAGAAGATTGCGTCGTCAATCGGCTGGGTTGACATGGGCGTTTTTGCTGAGCTTAGGAAGGGCTTTGATTTGGTGGGGCATGCAAAGCACACGGGAGTTTTCGCGCTTGAGTCCAGGCCTCCGAAGCTTCCTAAGGATGACTTTCTTGCTGCCACAAAATTTCTTAGGCCAGCCCTGCTGGGTAAGGTAAAATCGTCGTCCATGGATCGTAATGCACGTGAGCTGTGGGAAAAGACGATGCAGGAGGTGGAGAGTGGTATGTTGGAGGGACCTCTGTCGTCGCAGCAGCTGGATGATAGGCATCCCTCTGGCTGGTTGCCCACTCGGCGTTTCGGGGTGGAACAGACTTCTGCTGCCGGGCGCAAGCTGCGGCCTGTTGATGATTTCACCGAGAACAAGGTGAATCTTGCTTTTGGGTCTATGGATAAGCTGGACTTGAATGCGCTTGATCAACTTATCTGCACCTGCCGCATTTGGGCAAGGGCCATGTGTGGGGGGCATGATTGTGAGCTCGTGCTTTCCTCGGGGCTTGTGCTAAAGGGCCGTGTGCATCCTGGTTGGAAGAAGGCAGGGCATCAGCCGCTTCTGACCACACTTGATCTTCGAGCTGCTTACAAGCAGTTCGCAGTGTCAGCCGACTCGCGAGCTTGGGCAGTTATCGCTTTGCTTAACCCTGATACGCTGGTGCCGGGCCTTTTCGAGTCGAAGGCGTTGCCTTTTGGCAGCGCGGCCTCGGTGCTGCATTTCAACCGCCTCTCGAGATTGTTGTGGAGGTTGGGGGTTGAGCTTTTGATCCCATGGGGAAACTTTTTCGACGACTTCCCTGCAATGTCACCGAGTGCCATTTCAGACAATACCATGAGTACAATGACTGCCTTGTGTTCCCTTCTCGGGTTCGCCTTTGCTGACGATAAGCTCAGCCCCTTCCAGCCTGCTGCCACCATGTTGGGGGTTGAGGTCGATTGTTCAAGGTGTGATGAGGGTTTGGTGCTCGTAAGGAACAAGCCTGGTCGTGCTGAGGAACTCGTGGTGTCTCTTGAGGAGTTTCTGCGCGAGGGAGTGATCTCTCGAAAGCGTTACCTCAGTCTCATGGGTCGACTCCACTACACTGATTCGTACATACTTGGTAAGTCGGGCCGTTTGATCATGGCGGACATTCGCTCGTGGGCAAGAGGGCATTGTTCCGATGAGTTGGTCTTGGACGATGCAGCACGGGAATCGCTGCGTCTGTTCATTGCGCGTCTCCGTGCTTGTGAGCCTCGCCAGGTGCCTTGTGGAGTGGCGAGCCACGTTGTGCACGTCTTCACGGATGGCGCCAGCGAGGGTGAGGTGCACTCGATTGGTGGGGTCCTTGTAGTGCCAGGACGGCTGCATTCTTGCTTTGGGTCTCTTGTTCCCGATCATTTGATCAGCAAATGGACCTCCACGATGCGACACATTATCGGGCCGGTTGAATCATATGCAGTTGCGGTGGCAAGGAGAGTTTGGCACCAGTTCATTGCTTCGCAGCGCGCTTTGTTTTTCATCGATAATGTGCAGGCACAAGATTCCTACATAAAGGGCACCTCTGCCAACCCTTACGTGCGGGAAATCCTCCTTTCTTTTGAGGAGTCGGAAAAACTTTCCCCTTCCTGGACGTGGTTCGCCCGTGTGGCGAGTCCAAGCAATGTCGCAGACGAGCCGTCACGTGCTGCCTTCGAGTTTTTGCATAAGGCTCAATGTCGCAGGGTCACTCCCTCGTGTCCCATCAGTGGTTTTGACCTTGTGGATCTTGGCGCCCTTGGAAAAATTTGAAAGTGGGGTGAAGGGGCCGGACGCCAGATCCGTTTCGCCCCATGCGACAAAAAAGAGTGCATCCGAGCTTTCAGGCATGTGGGATCCGTTGCTTTGCGAGTGCACCTTCATGTGAGTGCTGAGCTTTGCATTTCCCTGCCAAAACATCTAAAGAGTTTTCTTGGTGGTTTGAAAATCCTTTTATGAAAAGGGATTCAGTAGAAAGCAAGCGCATCTACGATCCCTTTTTCATTTTAGGACAGCGAGGGTACGAGCGTTTTCAAACTGTGATTTTCTTGGACATATGCAGTTGGTCACCTGCGCATGCTTTGAGGGCACAATGCATCACTGCCTGTGCGCGTGAGTGTGCTTGATGTGCAATGCAGTTTTTGTGGGTCACGTTTTGCTTGACTGCGTTTTTCCTTCATGTGCAGAAATTTTCTTGATCGGGTCATGTGTTTACTCATAGCTGTTTGCTGTTTGTGAAAGATCACCGTCCTTTGTTGCTTTTGGTTCAAGCCACACACCAAAAACGTGCAGCTTTCAGTGCATCGCTAGCTAGCTTTACTTTTGATAGCAGCATGGAGCCAGACATTTGTTGCAGTTTTTACATCATCACATTGCACTGCTACGTAATTCTTTCCGCAATAGGCGGCGTGCAAGCGTTCCTGTGTGGACATGGATGTCGTCCGGCTCCGGCTGGTTTCCTGTCGGGGATCATGTCAGTGATCTCGAACCTGGCATTGCGTAAATTGCTTTGACTTCAGTTTGGAGCTTCTCGGATAAAGCTCCCCGGATTCAGGTTCAGCAGTCCTGCTTTGGCATTCATCTTGGTTCCCGACCTCTCTACGGGTTGCACTCTGTTCTTGTTGATCGTGCAGTTCGGCTGTGGGCACTTCGCACCACTCCCATAAGTCATCCCTGACTTTCCTGGTGTTTGAACATGTCCACTGACCCCAGAACGCATGCTGCAGCTCCCACATTAGATCTTTGTGAGCCACATGCGGGTCAGTCTGCAGGCCAAGACACCTTTACCTTTGCGCCAGTCAGGGTCAAGCGTTACAGGAATAATCCTCCGGGCCCAGGGCGAGCCTCAGTCAGTGATCTGACTGATGCCACTTCAACCATTTCAACTCTTAACTATACCGTTGAAGAGAAGCCGCCAGGTGAACGATCCCTTTCACCTCGTTTACCGTTGTATTGCAGTCTCTTGATGTGTCTGCAACACCACGGCCTTCATTGACTTTCGGCTCTTGGTCAGTTGTTGCCACAGTGCAGCCTTGTGCGACTCTCGACCTTTGCCGGCACCTTGCCGGACGGTTTGCCCTAGGACTAGGCCTTCGGTTGCCTCGGTTCCTAACGTAACCCCTTTGCCAGCCCCAATTAGGTTTAATATGCATCGAGCACTCCTGCAGTGGGAAGCTCCTTTGCCTCAACCCAGCTACCAGCATGCATATGCATACTCCATCTATCCATCAGCAGCTCGAGGCACGCGGGCGGCTTCTCAGCAAGGGAGAGGTCTGTCTCTGTCTCAGAAACTGATCTTTCCCGGCTTTCTTCCTTTGTCCTCCCATCTCCTAAGGGACCCGCAGCATTAAAGCCTCGTGACCACACCCCAGAGCTTGCCTTAACTCTGCTGCTTTTGCCTCCAATGTGGGGGGTGTTGTTATTCAGAGCACCCCGCACTCAGAGGCCTGGGACTCTATTTTGCTGCTCTGGCGTTCACTGGTGGATATCATTGGCCCTTACAGTTCTGTGCTGCAACAGCTCGAGGGATCACCCAATGGTCCTGCTTTGACATTGATGCTCTTGCAGCTCAACGCATACACAACTGCCCTGCGTTATGCCAAAGCGTGTTTGACGTACTTTGAATTTCTCGTTGACCTCGGTCATTCCTTGGACAACCTCTCCCAACTCGCAGCGGTCGAAGCATTATACGCTCTCCATTGCAGCCGTTCCCAAGACGATGACCTTTCCCTAGATCGGGAGCAAATTGCCTTGGCTTTTCCACTTAATACTTTGAAAGCGCTGCGTTGGTTGCTAAAAACTGTGGCCCTTCTTTTTCCAGACCTTTACTCAGGCCTGGTCAGAGCTTTGTCCGCCCAGCCATCTTCAGATCGTTCTGAAGCCATGCCGCTTCCTCTGGACTTGTCGCTTTTCTTGAATCGCCTGTGCTCGACCTGTCCTCCGCTCCTGAGCTTGCTCTTTTTGCCGGCTCCGCATTGGCTTGTATATGGGTTTCGCTGCGCTTTGCGAACGCATCGCATGCATCGTGGGCAGTTTTATTGTTCGACCCCCAAGCATTAATCATTCGCGGCCTTGCATACCGAAAAAAAAAAAAAACCTCTCGGCGAGGCATGGCTTTTGCTTTCTATGTAGAGGGCATTTACGGCCTTTGAGGCATCCGCTGGCTCCAGCTTTTGGATGCGCTGTGGGGGTCATTGGAACAACTCTCTCCCAATGTGGTGCCTGACTCCCTCTTCTTCTGCTCGTTGCTCTTGGATGATGCCTGCGACTTTGCATTTTGCCCAGCATCGTATGTATCCGCCTTGCGTAGCCTGCGTTCAGCCTTGAATATGTGGGGCCGACTAGGTTTTTACGCATTCCGTAACTTTACTTTGCATTCCTGCAAGGCAACGGTCCTGTCTTGGTGTTCGCAGCTTGGCCCTGGCGACATGGCACGCCGTGAACAGGGACATCGTCGCACCACGTCGGTCACTCTTTACGGTAGGGATGACACGCATGCTGCCCTGGCACTTCAGGCTTCGATCCTTGGCAAGATTCGCACCGGTGTCTTTCGCCCCAGCATTTCCCAACACCGTGGAGCTCAGTCGCCTATATCAGAGCCACAGCTTTTGGTTAGGGAAGGTTTCGCATCTTCAGGTTTTGATGTCCCTTTTCGTTCCCAGGGATTGACTTCTGAACACAACGGTGCAAATCCTTTGCTAGTGGCCGCCCTTCCTCTTGTACCTAGTCAGCCAATTGCTTCGTTTGGTGCATCTCAAGCTGCATCTGCGTCTTTGGACGCCGCCAGCCCTAGGTCCTAGCCCTTTTCATGGCTGGCTAAAACCATACACAGGGCGGTCAACTACGATGTTGCTGTGTCACAGGTGTGCTGGCAAGGAAGAGCGTATAAGATAGCCTGCGGGGCCGTCGTCCGCGCTGAGTGGTAATGCTTTTGGAGCTTCAGGAGCAGGACCTCCTGGGACACGCCGCGCACTTTACAAACGGCCCTCCTGTTTCGGCAGGGGCATCTGCCTTTGAGTTAGGATCACCTTTGGCGATAGGTGTCAACAAAAAGGGAATCTCGATTTCGGTGAGCTTGCGCATCACTGTGCTTTTCATGCTTTAGATGGTTTGCCTTTTCTTTCAGTCAGAGCTTGCCTCAGAGCTTCAGTGCGTAATCGCTTCGGCCCAGCTTTTGGCTCTTACCTCCTCAGGGGTGGATCGGGATTGCAGAGCTTTTTCCCCTGGCCTCGCACCCAGAGTGTCAGAACCGCTGTGAGCGTCCTGTATAGTGGCTGCACAGCAGTTTCAGTGCTTTGATGTTGCACTCTGAGCGTGTGCATCAACATTTCTCCTCTTCACCTTCGGAGCTTTTGGCTTTGCTTTAGCCTGCCCATACTTTGACACTGAGAGTGTCTTTTGCTTGGTGGCTCTTCCCACCCCCGCTTTTTGCTGGCAATGGCAAACACTGACATTTTCCTTGGCCTTGCAGAAGCTGATGTGAACAAGGCAGTGTCTTGGCTGGAGGATGCTCGTCACATGCCGGCCTCCAGTGGCTTTTCGCCATCAGAATGGCTGTGGCACTGGCTCTCGTCTGAGCCAGCATTTTCGCCTCTGACGAAGGCTGCTGGAAACATGGACACGGTCTTCGGCTTTGGCTCTGGAGATTGGGCTTTTCACTGGGTCGAAGAGATGGAGAAAGCCACCCAGAACCCGGGTGCCGTGGCATCCCAAGCTGCACCGGCGCAGGCTGCTTCGGATAGCAAGTGGCCACATTTTCCCAATGGCCATCGTTCCCTTGGACTGACTCCTGCAGATCTCGTCAGAGCGCACTCGTGGTTGGAAGAGGCGTCTTCCTTTAACGGTGCGGGTGGCTGGGAGGAGGATGATTGGCTTCGTTATTGGATGGAGCAGGACTCGGCTGTTGAGACCTTGCTTCGGCGTGCCAAGGAGGCCAACCATGGCTGGGACATTGGCCAGTGGCTTTGGCTTTGGGTGTCGCAGGCTGACCGACCCCAACCGCCGCCGGCGCCGCCTCTGGACACTACGCCGCCTTTGGCCACTGGCATGGGTTCGGATGCGTTCCCGCTTAGCCAAATCAACGAGACAGTTACCGTCACTCAGATTTGCTGCCGCTCTACATGTCAAGACTGCGGGGCTGGCCACTGCGGGGTCGTTCTTACGCGCGAAGATCTCCCCACCGGCACCGCTGTGGCATTTGCTACAAAGCTTTTAGGAGGGCACAGGGGCAAGCCTGACAAATGCCTAACCCAGCATTTGGCTTTTAGTTTCCCCTCCTCCATTTCAGCTTTGTCTGCTTTGGCAGGGGCAGTACACAGAGTGCTTTTGGCTTTGTCTCGCCGCATTTTCCCTCATAAGCTTTAAGCTTCTTGGGGGTGATTGGCATCTGAGCTTGCCAGCAAAAAATCAGAGTCTCAGTGCTTTTTCTGGCTTCCTTTGCCTTCTGTGTACAGCGCTATTTCTCATACATGCTCCCGCGCCCAGGTCTGGCTGTGGACGCTCCTCTATTTTCTCCAGGTGCATTTCTCGGAGTGATTCCCTTGTCCTTTCTGTGATGGGCTGGTAACCTGGCTTTAGGGTCTGTGCGTGCGTCAAGTGCTGCTCTTTTCCTTCCTCTCTTTTGAAAACATGAACATGCATGGCCCGCGCACACCCGTACTGTGCTTGTTTGCCAATGCTGCACTCGGGCTTGCACAGGTTCCATGGCCGACCCGGGGAGCGACAATGGGAGAGGCCTACTCGCACAGCCGACCCCCTCGGACACGCTGTCAGTG